ATCTTCCCGTTTCTTTCGTCCATTTGTTCAATTCATTGCAAAAATAATAATCATTGTTCTTTGCCCTTTTGTCCAGTTTGTTATTCTGTCTTGTATTTTTTTCAATTAGGGAAATTTCGTGCAACATGTTATGCCTCTGATTCTAAATGTCGACTCTAAAGCTCTCCAAACTCCTGATTTCCGTGGCAAATGTAACTCATTCTCATCACCGAGTCACAGAGGCACAGGCATTAACATTTTATGCTATATGACAAAATACTGCACTTTTGGAAAGGACCGGAATTAATGTTACTATGACAACTCCAAATTTCTGACTTTTATGCATGTAAAATTTCAAGGATCCAGTTGCCTTATAATGCAAGGTTGTTTATAAAATCTCACCCGAGCACTAAGATATTTATTACAAATCTTCACTGAGACCAACAGCAAGTGTCACCCCCCCACCCCACACCAATACACATCAGTGAAATGGATGGTAGTGTATATGTGGTTGCAAAATATTATGAAATCGATTAAAATCTTATTTCTTTTCGTTGCTGCTATACTTATAAACACATACATACAGTATGCAGCACTGGATATAAATACAAATAAAACATAAAGAGAAAACATATAAAACCTCATAAATATACAGTATCCTGCCTTATCAATATTCATTTATGCATATCTCTGCACTCCCGCATTAATAAAAGCACATATATTGGATTTGAATGTGTGAGGGATGGGTAGGGAAGCTGTAATCAAGATATTCAAGCTCTCCTCTTCATGGAGAAGTATTACATTATCTCTCTCAGCCTATTATGTTTTCTGAAATTTCCAAATGTATGTTTTGGCCTCTTCAACTTTAGTCTTTTGCATTTAAGTAATGAGAAAGTTAAGTGCAATAAATGGATCACTCAAGGGCATTCCAAAGAATGTTTTGATCTATTTAGAGCCTTTAACTTCAGAGCAAAGGCCTGGTTTAGTGCGACCTTAGTGAATTCAAACTGTTTTGTTTCACTAACAAGTGAAGCATATATTTCAATAGAATTAATGTATGACGAGCTTCTCAAAGACTCCATTTCAGGGGCGTGGGGGACCTGATGTCTAAACTCCCTTGGACCTACTGTTAAGAAAACCTCGGTATAATAACTGTTGAAAATCTGAGAAGTACATGGTATTGCAGCACTATTTTATTTGTCAGGAATTAGTGGCATAGCTATAGCTTTCCTCAAAAACTCGAAGTGCTGAGACTCTTTTGAGAGATTATCTGGACTTTTTCTCAATAGACTTGTATGTGTTCACAACAAAATACAAGGGTGCAGGGCTCTGAACCCTCTTCTTATTGGGTAACTGTTCATTTTGAGGCCAAACTCAGCTCTGAGCTGAGATTATTTACTGCTTTGGGGGCCTTCATATCCCATAAGTATCTTCCTTTTCTTTGGCTTTTGTTGTTCCTTTGGCAACTATGAATAATGCACCAACATCCTTCCTAAAGACCAGTTGTTTTATGGAGCCAGGATGGATAATTAGCAAATTAATTCATTAGAGTTACCCTCCTATCATTGAGCCAATCATCTGTATTAGCAAGATGCCCTTGCTTTATAAAAGACATCCATGCCTAAGAGTGAGTGATTTTGAACCTGTTTTTCCTTTCTAGAAAGAAAGTTAGAAAGGCTTCGATATGAGATTCCTTTGTATACTTACTTTATATACAACAGGAAGAATATACCAGGGGCCAGAGACAGCCAAGGGCTCAAGGAACCAGGGGTCCAACACAAGAATTATAATCAGGCCTGGAAATGGAGCTTTTTTAATAATAGCTGACACTTAATGAGTTCTTACAGAAAGTGAGCTGCTGTTTAAAATACTTCACAGTTAACGTGCTTTAACCTCACAACAGCCCCATAAGGACGAAGCAGTGAGGTAACACTGCCTGCTCAAGTTCATATAGACAGAAGACAATAGAGCCAGGATTGAACTCAGGCAGCCCGTCTCCAGATTACCCTGGACTACTACTCTTGAGTTACTTTTATCAGCCCTCTTAAGACAATTCAGTGTTTTAGTGTGGAAGTTTCTCAAAATATTGAAACAGATCTACCATACCATCCAGCAATTCCACTCTTACTTATCTAGCCAAAGAATGTCAAAACACTAATAGAAGGTATATGTGTGCTTGGGCTGGAATGATCATGGGGTGGGGTGGAGCCAGCCTGTGCCTCTGTCTACTCCTATGTGCATTGCAGCCTATTTGCCATAGCCAAGTTATGGAAACAACCTATGTCTCCAATGACAGATGAGTGGATAAAGATGTGTACATATAAAAGGTATATGTACAAAAGGGAATACTATTCAGCTGTAAACAAGATGAAGTCTTGTTATTTATGACAATACAAATGGAACTGGCAGGGACTATGCTAAGCAAAATAAGTCTGAAGGACAAAGACAAACACGACTTGTGTGGAATGTAAAGAAATAAAACAAAGGAACAAACAAAACTAAACCAAAACAAACCCTAGAAATCTTACTGCAGAATTGAGGCCACCAGAGTGGGAGGGTAAGTAGTGAGAGTAAAGGAGGGAAGGGACCCAATGGACTATGGGTGTGTAGGTGGTAGGTGTTGTGTGGCCACATACATTTGAAGAGTTGTGAATCTGTACTTCTAAATCATTTAATTTAAAATTAACATAACTTAAAAATTTAAATTTAAAAAGAATCCAGAGTTTTAAGCAGAGTTTTTAGACCTTCTTAAGGCACACTTACTATCACTGTTCACCTAAGAAGGGTTAAATATTTCATATGAGTGAAAATTTCAAGGCAGTTGCTCTCACTTTTGACAACTTTGCCTCCTATGTTCTCTGATATTTAGAATACATTGTTGCCCTTAAGTCAATGAGAGAATAAAGGACCAAATTTAAGCTTTCAGGGTAAAATTTTCTCTTGAAAATGGTATAGGCTTTTTTTTTTATTATTAATGTTTACTAATTTTATAGAAAATTTATACAATACCAAAATGATCGCTCTTAGTAATTATGCCATGTTAATTATCACTCCTGGTAGTAATGCTATGGTCATTAGCACCTTAACAGATTTTCCAGGCACATTTTCCCATATTTTACATAACACCATATATAGTAATTTTTCAAAAATACTTAATATCAGTGCACAACCACTAATATGACAAAGATAGTCTAAATTTCATATGCATCTTGTTTATTATTTTATATCATAAGCCTCATACCAGTTATTTATTACCAGGTCAATGACTTTATGGTATTTTATATGTGTAATATCTAATGGATTTATAATTAGACATTCGCTTTTTCAAAGTTTTCCATTATAGATAATACTAAAATGAACATTTTTGTATATTTCAGATTCTTTCTAGCATGGATACATAGATTTCTAAACATGGAAACACTTGGCCAATGGGCTGACCATGGCTGATTTTGGGGTGGTTATTGCTAAATTGCTTCCTCGAGACTGCTACACACTTGCAGAAGCCTAAAACATCTAGTGAGGCAAGTGTTGTGTGGGAAGATCAAGTTAAAGGATGTGTGAAGCCCTAACTTTCATTGTCAAATGAAATCATCAAAAAACTCCATGCCTACAACTCATTAATGTGGACTCTCAGAACAGTCTCCCCAAAGTCACATGTCAAAAGTATAGCCTTGGCTTTCATTTAAGACAATTTAGACCTGGTCCACATAAGCAATACCACTGTTGAAAATAAATAGTCTGTAGTGTTAGTCATCATCTCTCAAATAAGACAGATTTTGTCCTGTTGGACTAAATGGCACACATCCATTTTTTTCCATTAGAGAAATATATGATCCCATTTTTCCTGGATAGTCAGGAAAGTCAGTATTAAAACTTAAATAAATATCCGTAGCCTACAAAATGAAATGCAAACTTTTCACTAGCAAAATATTCTGCCCACCAGGTTGCATCAATATAGCATTCCAACTAAATCTCCTATTATTGATATTAGCAAAATCTCTACCCTAGACAGTTTTAAGACCCCCTTTTTTGACAACTCTTCAGTTTTCTTCAATTTCCTCATTACATGCACAGTACTTTATCTAAACACCTGAGTCTGATATGTTAGTCTGTTTTCTCTAGGCTACAATTTTTATGTCCAACTTGGTGACTAAACTATAAGCCCTCCATAAGGCCTCTCCTAAGTCTATAATCTACAGAAAAGTTGAGAGGACAGTTTTTTTAGAAATCTCATATTTTAGGTTTATTTAGAAATCTAAAAGAGGAGAGTCAGTTATCACCCCTCCGTAAATCCTTGTGAACTAAAAATTCCTTTATATCGTAATAACCTCTAGTAAAGGCATAATCACTGAAACTAGGAACTCATTCTCCTGTACAAGAGAAATGCAAACTGCTACACAGGTCCCACTTTTGTTGTTAGAACTACACCTTAGTAGAAGATCTCAGCTAGAATTTACTGAGTGGTTAGCAAAAAACAGATGTTGACACAGTACGCGTTGCGGGTACCTCTCCACTCTCTGACAGAAGAGGACATTTCTGAAACCTGCCTTGTCAGTTTGGTTAGGGTTTAGAAAATTCTTTCTCTAACTTTGCACCAGGGGACCTTTCCCAGCAGCTCTCCTTCTAGTAGAATGAATATGTTTTGTAGAAATGTCTTTGGAGAGTGCTTGTGTTCTATGTTAAAGCCATTATTTTTCAATATGGAAGCTCAACAAACTTGTGCCCTTTGTATCCCCTAATCATTCCCTCTCCAGTTTCCAGAATTACCTGAGAAGCATTCACTTTGGGAAGCTCTCTTTGGAAAATAACAGTCTGACCTGTAAGCCTCAGTCAAGAGTAGAGTCGAGTCATAAAATGTGGCTAAACAAGGCACTTGAGGGAAAAAAAGGAGGGTCAGCGTGAGAGGCAGCGGAGCAAAGGAATGAATCTACTGAGTGAAGTGACTGGGTAATGAGTAGGTTGAGGCAATTGAATTTTCTCTCAGGAGAAGTCTTAAACTCTTGGGAGGGCTAGGGAAGGAAAACAGACTTGTTGATCCAAGAGGCTCTTTATGTCTCTCGTGTCTCAAGTGTGGAAATGTCCAAAACTAGCCATCGAGATGTGATGAGGCAGCTTCAAAACAGGCGGTGACAGCCTCCCCCAATTCTATCAAAATTCTGCAACAGAGAAAATGCAGAAACCATCACTCAGATCCTAAAGACCGGGAAGTGGCTAATGGAGTCATCTATTCGTCGTATTGATTGAACCATTGATTTGCCCCCCTTTTTTAAGCGCCCATTTCTTGGTGCCCTGCCAGGGATGCTTTAAAGAGCTTAAACAAAACTTACACCAAATCTTGCCAATGGCCCCAGGGAAACTACAAACTAACTTTCTCTGTTGACACACGCAAAACTGCACAGATGAAGGCCCTCCAAAAAATATTAGAGTTCTAACTCCAAAAACTACTAACCTAAGGGCTCCAACGGGGGATTCCTGGCTGGGAAGACAAAGAAGGAAAGGCCCAAGAAGTAAGTCTGGATGGTTGGAACAACTACATATGAAGAAAGACCTGAAGAAAGACCTGCTCAGTCATCCCTGCCAGTAAAGGTTGAAGGGCTCTTTGGATCAGGAGCAGGGATGGAGCACATTCATTTTCCCAGGAACAGTTACAGAAGTTTTGTCACTATCAATTGCTTCACCTTTTAGGTCCAAATTCTACTGTGTAAGAATCATCTGTGTTGGTGGTTACCAGAAGGGAATGTGATTCAGGGGCAATAAAGGGAGTGAATGGCTTGGTGGTGGATGGAAGTTAGACTTCTGGTAGTCAACATAATGTAGTATATGCAGATGATAAGGTATAATGTTGTGCAATCAAAGCTTGTATCATGTTACTCCAATTCAAATTTTTTTTTAAAGTCATCTGTGGCATTGGTTACAATGCAGATTCCTGAATCTGCCTTTAGGGAGTCTGATTCAGTAGGAAGCAGGGCCTTGGAACCTGCATTGTAACCAGAAGATGCCTAGGTGAAAGGGAGCTTTGGATTCAATTTCTCCAACACTGCAAACAAGCTGTATCTGGTGTCTGCTGTAGATCAATTTACAGATATAACATGGACATTGTTAAATATTTGCAAGACTAATACTTTTTCTTTTTTCGTGGCCCATTCATTCTACTACACACTGTCATCGGGCCAGCCTCTTCCATGGCAAGTAGCAGAAAATGACTTAAGCTAACTCACCCAAATCCACACAACTTGATTATGAGTTTACAATGGCCGCAGCCACAGGGTTTGTTGAATTGAGATGTTAGGAGTAGAAATTTGTGATATTTTGCCTTTCTCATTTCTGCTAGTATCTCTCTCCCTCTCCTTACTCCAAGCTCTCGCTCCCGTTCCCTGCCTTCCTTCTCAGTGTATAAAGCAGGAAAAGACTTTTCCAAGCCTACTACCAATAGCACAATCAATCAATATTGGTGCACAGTCATGGCATGGCCAAGGCCCCTCAGGAGAGGTGGGAGGTAATCTTGAGTGGAGAGTAGTGATAAATTGAAAGTTTCAGGCACACTCTTTCCAGACATTTTTTTTTTTTCAGTCTCAAATTCTCTTACTCTGAACAGCAGTATAACAAACCACACAAAATGTAGCCTAACAGGAAGGAACCCATGGTCCACAGATTGCTCTTTTTAAAAGAAAAAAAATAAACAGATCAAAAGATTTGTCTCAGGGCCTCCCCGGTGGCGCAGCGGTTGAGCGCTGGGTTGCAAAGCTGCCCGCAGCCTCTGCAGCGCCGGTTCGATCCCCGGCTGCTCCCCGGCCACCGGAGGAGGGTCCCGCAGGGCGCGCAGACCTCTCCTGCCGCCTGCTGCTCCCCTCAGCAGTGTACTTCAGTCCTTCTGCCTGCTCTGCTCCCCGCTCTGGCTCTGGTGAATTCTCTCACCCTCCCGCGCTTCTGACTGTACCCAGTGCTTGCATAAATAAATCTTAAAAAAAAAAATAAAAATAAACTGTCTTTAAAAAAATTAAAAAAAAAATAAAAATAAAAAAAAGATTTGGTCTCAGCTCCGGGATCAGTTCATGGCATAATTGTCAAATTGGTGAAAAGTATCTGATTCCACTGTCTTCTTTCTAAACCTTTATGGCCCATCTTCTATTAATAGCTTATGTATTATTAATCACTGTGCCTGGTATGCAAGGGTTTTATCGATCTGCCCCTCATTCTAGGGGGAAGATGATCACAATAAGCCTAAAGACACCCATCTGAGTGACAGAACACTCATTTAATTTTCCCTGGAGGGATCTCCCTTTCCTGGGGCATTGGGCACACAAGTTATTCCTTTGCTCAGGTTTGGGTGACTCACATTTGAGCAGCAAAGCAAATCAAAATGAACAGGGTATGATCAGGAGTCCTGATCACAGAGGCAGATGTATTCTCAGATATATTTTTTGGCACTTCGTGACCTATTTGCCTGTATCTGGAGATTTTTCTGTTTTTAAATATTTAAACGGGGTGAAAAAGTTCATTTCAAGCTCGGTGACGGGCAAACCCCATGGTAGCCTTCCACAGCCTGAACAGAATTTTCTCTCTGAAAAAAATTCATCTTCCAAAGGTAGAAGGTAGAGTGGGGAGCGTGGTGGGGGAGGGGAGAGCTTGATGGCAATTTGGCAAACCTGAACATTCTTTGCAAACTCCATCATCTATTGCTTGAGGGGCTTTTCACCTACCCAGGTGTTCTCTACTGGCAGCCAGTTGTTGGTGTGTGTGTGTGTGTGTGAGCGTGTGTGTGTGCGTGCGTGTGTGCGTGTGTGTGTGTGTGTGTGTGTGTGTGTGTGGTGTTTTGTAATCAAGCCACAATTGAAATTTTATCAGTTCTTTCCGGGATTTAATTTCCACATTTGAAGAAAGAGTTACCAATAAGCATTTGGTTTCTTAAAACTAAAGGAGCTTACAAAGACTCCCATTGAATTTTTTTTTATTTTAAATTTTTTAATTTAATTTTTTCTATCATTGTTCATTATTAAACAATATTTGCTCCCTCCCTCCCCTCAGGTGTCATCCTCATAGAATTTCCTACACCAATGCACCCGTGTACCATCACCTCAGTCCCCTCTGGAATGTGAGCTCGCTTCCGATGAGCCTGCCTTTGTGTGTCCAATGAGGACCCCTCGAAGCTTGCTGCTGAGATGTGCCTCCTTGTTGTTGCTCAAGACAAGACAGCGGTGAGCTTGTGCCAGTGAAATCCTATAGTCCAGGAAGCAGCAATTTGTTCCACACCTTTTCTACCCTCTGGGAATTCACACTCAGAGGGGAGGTCACTCCACACTGAGCCACCTTGTGGCCCGTGTGGCAAATGACAGCCAGCGAGAGGCAAAATAAAGTCCCGAGCGACACAAACAATATTTGGAGATATGGGGAGGGTCTGGGAGTGACTCTGTGAAACTCCTGAAAGTTATGAAGCAACTAACTGGACACCAGAGCTGGTTTCAGTGACTCGCTTTGTCTTCTGTAATTTAACTCTTCAGGAGTGTTTAAGAGAGGAAGCTTCAAAAGCCACAGAAATGAGTCAAATACTGACTCTACCAGTTACTGGTCACCTTTTCTTGAACGAGTTATTCAGCCTCTTGAGCTCATAAACCCTGAGGAGGATCATGGCACCTACCTCATACCCTTGTTGTGAGAATTAAATGAGAGAAAGCATGAGGAAGGGATTGGTGTAGTGTCTATGCTCAATAAGTTTTGATAGGATGACAAGCAAACATAGTATTCTCAAATGTGTTTTGGGGAATTCTTACTATTTCTCCTTTGAAATCAGAATCACACTTTTGTTGTTTGGTTAATGATCTGATGACAGAGCTGCCTTTTGAATAAAAGGGGGAGAATCTAAGAATGGCTGCTAAGTCTGCATTCATTTTATGATCATTAAATACAGTGATTCCAATGGAAACTCCTTTCAGTTCCTCTCCAGTGATGAAGAGGATGCCATTTGAGGTCTAGGTAGCCTTTGAGAATTCTCTTTCCTCTTTGTCGGCATTGTGCTAGTTTTGACCTAAAAACGTATCTTGAACCATTAGAAGATATCAGAGAAAACAGGTCAAGTGACCAGTTCCAGGAGCTCACTCTCCGTCCAGATGGAAGTTGAAAGTTGTTGCTTATGTTCATGCGAACATCCCAGATCACCTGGTCACTGCATCCAAAGCCCACCCAACCCAGAACCAGAGAAAGAAAATTTCTTTCCCATTTCCTGTTTTCTTCCTTTCTCTTCTTACTTTCGCAGCAAGTAGCTCCTTTTTAAGCACTGATTTTCTGGATACATATCAGAGCTTTGTCCAGACCATGGACCCATTGCCTCTGCCAAAGTCCAGCAGACAATCTGTTGAGGGAAGGAGTTACAGAAAAATATTATCCAAACCAATAGATTTCAATTTTGAATAATGTATTTTCTGGGCAATCTCAATAAGAAAAATTTATGTAAAATTGAATTTTGTAGAAGATGAGACCTCACAGCCTTGGTAAAAGAGACCAGATACTTTGGGAGACACCTCTCATTCTACTTCTCAGGCTAACTCACCGAAAGATCTGGGTAGATAAATGCAATGCACAGAAATCACCAAGGTCCCACGAAATATTATTTTCCTTATCCATTTGGAATATAATTCAGATGGCATGAAAACTTGAGTCAAAGAATGAAAAGAATACCCTAGTATCAGGACATCTATATTTTAAACCTAAATAACAGAAAATATATTCTTTGACTCTCTTCAGTCATATTATTCAGTAATTAGTCATAAAATGGAGGGAGAGCTAGTGAGTTTTCCATCTCTAGTAAGGTGTTCCATACATTTTGTTGATTGTATTTTGTTTTAAGAGGCACTACAAGAATAGGAATTATGTTTAATATTATAGGAGCTTATCATTGTGCAGTACTTCACAGTTGGAAAATCCTTTTAAGTGGGTTGTTTGCTTTGATCTTCAACAATAAAATGAGTTCCACAGGTCATTATTAGAATTCAAATTTGACAAACAAGGTTCGAAGAGATTAAGTGACTTGTGTAAGTACACTCTGCTACTAAATATTCATGCTGAGATAAGAAGATGGTGTTTAGGGACTTCAAGGAGCTCACAGACAAAGGTATAGGACTTTCTCATCTGAAAAATCTTTTAGAAAACAAAGCTTTCCAGAACAAACTGTTTTGATATGACTAAAGTCAGGGAGAGAGACTAGCGGATCTCTCCTAAGTATTCAACTGACCCTGTAATTGGGACAGTTTCTTGCTAGAATTCAAATTTGACAAACAAGGTTCGAAGAGATTAAGTGACTTGTGCAAGTACACTCTGCTACTAAATATTCATGCTGAAATAAGAAGATGGTGTTTAGGGACTTCAAGGAGATCACAGACAAAGGTATAGGACTTTCTCATCTGAAAAATCTTTTAGAAAACAAAGCATATTCTTTCCATAACAAACTGTTTTGATATGACTAAAGTCAGAGAAAGAGACTAGCAGATCTCTCTTAAGTATTCAACTGACCCTGTAATTGGGACCATTTCTTGCTCTCTAAATGGGGGGACAGTGATGATAATAATTAAGCTTTAGGCATCCATACTGCCTTTCATCTGAGTTCTTCATCTGGACAGAAAGAACCCAGCCCCTCCATGAAATGGTTTTTTCATGTGGCCATATCCATGGACTATCTAGACTTTCTTTTTTAGAAAAGTCAAACATCTTAAGGAAACCTCAGGAATTTGCACCCCCAGATGGATACCTCTGAAGGAGTCATAGGCTTCTGAAAAACTTTCCGAACAAATAAACTCACTGCTGTTACATATAATAATGAAGTGAAGGAACCATCAAAGTCTCTAGTCAGCAACATCTGCATGTTTGGTGGGGGAGTCTGAAGGAGCAGCAAGAATAGAAATGTGAAAATCCTTCACTCCGGCCCCGCCTCCTCCAGCCTCCACCTGCAATAGACTGTATTCATATCTCCCAGAGGAAATATGCTATTACTGATAATATGATCACTGAAACACTGGGAGTGGTTAGAGACAGAGCTCTGGCAGTGGGTTAATAAAAGGCCTAATGAAGAACAAAAAATCCTGCCAGTCGCTGTAAAAAAATATTGCCCCCGGGAAATTATAAATCAGACACCATGGTGTGAAGTTAAAATATATATATATCGCATTGGCTCCCTGATAGATGCAGGAATGGGCAGCCCGGTGACGAAACAAATATGTCACTGGGTGCCCTTGAAGTTTCAGTCCACCTCAGCATGATGCAGTTAACCGCCTCTGCAGGGCGAGCCAAAAACCACATTTACTCAGCCTTGTCAGACCGCGCTGCACCGGCTGCGGAAACAGAATGCCTGGTCCACAAATTAGTTACAATTCCCAGAGCCTCTCTCGCTTTTCTCTGCTTATTTTTATCTTTTTTTATTTGTTTGTTTGCCCAATTCCACAGCGTTCATCTGAATAGGCTCTTAAATGCTGTCTCTGGATAGAGACCTGTATTTAGGGTTTTCTTAATATATCCACGTTGAGCTGGCCTGGAAAGAACCCAATGGAAATTAGTTTTATGGGCAACCTCAACACAGTTCCATCTGACCGATGAGGGAAATTGATGAACAAAAGAGGGCAAAGGCCCTGATGGCAGGCTCACCCTACCTTTTAGCTAAATTGTCAGTGGTTAGGTCAGAGATGGCCTTCCCAACACCAGACACACTTGCTCTCCTGACTCATGTACACAGAGACGGCCTGGTGAATACTTCCTGAGGAGCTGTCCTTGTCCTCAGCTTTTCCCGTTCACACATCACTTTTGCCTCTGACCTTGAGTCCTAACCCTACTGCCCTCCAACAGGTGAGTCATTCCCCTGGGGCATTTCAGCCAGATTTTCACCTGCTTGATGGTATGCCAACTCTTGACTCCACATCTGAGAGGCTTGTCCCCAGGCGCCTCAGGGAAGACGGCCAAGCAACATACTGGGGTCAATGCCCAGGAGAACCCAGGCCAGCCCCCTCCCAGCACCACCATGAAGCCTGCTTTACATTCTCTCAGTGCACCTCTGTGAGGTGAGGCAGTGATGTTTCAGGAAATCCTTTCTAGTTTTCTGGGATTCCAAGGAGACATTTCCAGAAATGTAAGGAAGCTCTGTTAGTGAAACCTCCAGCTCCCTTATGGATATTGAACCACAAATCTAATAGGTAGAACAGGAGAGATCTCAAGTACCTCATTCGGTACTTGCATCCTGAATTCTCTTTCCTGAAATTTACATCCTTCTAAAGACGTCCAAAACACTGCCAGTTCTCCTTCACCCTGGTTTCAAACAGCCTATTGGTCCCATATGAAGATTCATTTTTTTTTTTACTGAAGCGAAATAAAAAGACATAATCCAAACTTTGTCAAGAATTCAGGAATGGAAAAATAGGAAAACAGACAGCAAAGGAATATACAATTTAGTAATCTGATTCACACATTACAGTTCCATAAAGTTGTCTGATGGAACATTGATTCCCATATGCCAAAACAAGCCTCCGAGTTTTCTTTGGTGCTCAGTACAGCAAAATGCAAAAAGGATAAAATGCAGTGAGATTTTCATATTCTATATAATATGTATATTAAACTTATTTTATTTATTCTGAGATTATGTCCTCCTTCTTATGTCATAAATAATCCTTTCTTGGTAATACTTGCTTTCTTGGTATCCATATTTGGTAAAATAAAAAGTTAATTGTTCAGTATTTTAAAATTTTGCTAGTTCCAGAAACCCCAAAATCTGGAATTCACCATCAAAAGGGGATGACTCGGACAGTTTCTAGTCTTTCTGAACATGACGAAGCCTAGTTTTCCCCCCTCAGAAGGATTATGAGTCATCAATGGGTTCAGCACAACGACCATCATGAAATAGAAATCACAAAACAATGGGAAGTTGTGGCTAGAGAAGGAGATCTACGCATTTAAGATTATGGATTAGGTAGAGAGGAAAAAATCACTTCAAGGAGAAGGAAATAGTGTGAGAAACAAGTTCCCAAGAATGATGAAAGCTGTGGAGAAGGAAATGAAGATACTGAGGCCAAGATTTAATGGAAGAAGATAAGTGGCTAGGAGGAAATCCATAAATAATAATCACAAGAAGAAAATGATCAAGTATCTAAAAGGACCAGGACCAAGCCTCAAGGACTCAGGGTTTTTTTAGGCAGGAGGGGGAATGGTCATCTAAGAGCAGTGGGATGGGCATCATGTCTCCTTCAGGTCCTACTAAGAGGTGGGGGTGTAGAACCTCTCCAAAAGAGAGAACTGTTGAGCAGGAAGGTCTCCAGAGATTAGTCAGAGATCAGATCAAGTTATAAAGTGGATATTTATAAGAATGAGTCTGTAAGGTTGTTGACCCCCCCAAGGGAATGGTATGAAGATTTGAAAATGAGCAGAGAATGCAGGACAGAGGTAGTCACTCAGCGAGAAGAGTTCAAAGAATAGAAAGTGAGAAGAATTGTGCAGAATCATGGGAACAATGTTGAAACTGTCCCTTGGCAATGTTTTTTCTGCATATGGAGCCACAGTGATATATGTATAACTATGGGGTTACTTCCATGAGTAACCCCAGTGTGTGGGGTATGCATTTTACATGCATTTTCTCATCCAAACTTGATGACAATTTACAAGCAATCTGCCTCATTACCCACTTTACAAAGGATGAAACTGGACTTAGACTGTGTCATTTGCCCACAAACACATGGCTTTTAGATGACAGTTTAACCACTCTCCTCCACTGCCTATCACTTAGTAACAAATGTATTCCTGGGTGAGTCAATCATAATCTGAATTTTTGTAAATCAAGCCATCATTCTAATTCACGAAAGGAGTTCAACATTTCTGGGACTACTATTATGAAACCTTTGCAGTGCAAAAATAACTCTCCCTCTCCCAGGGATGCCTCCTTATTAAACTGCTTGACCCATCCCAACTTTCTTGAAGCAAGATTAATTTTTACTGAAAGGTGGACTTGCTTAGTACTCTAGATCAGAAATCATCACAGTATTTTACAAATAAGTTGTCTTTCTGATTAAAAAAAAGTCCCAATAAGGTCAGTGGCAAAAGCAAGAATTACAGCAAGGCATATGACACTACTTAGTACAGAACATTGCAATTTCTTACTCATTAGCAGAGCTTTATTTTCCATGGGATGTCTTTCAAATGAGGATATGCTATAAGTAGAAAACAATACATACGGGTTCATTAGTCTTGCTCTTTTAAAGATAAATGCTGTATGTGGGATAAATGCTGTGAGCAAGAAATTATAAGCAGGTTCCCATATGCTAGATATCTATTTCCACAGCTCCTATCATCATGGTTTCTGGGCACTTTGACAGATAGATGAGG